ATGTCTCCAATGTGAGATCAATAAAGTTCAACTATTATCATTATTAGTATTAATTTATTCTTTCTATGTTACATAGTCCAAATCCCAACAAGCTTTGATGACAGATCAAATGTATTTCTTAAAATGCAGAATTAAGGTATCATAAGTGTTAGAAATCAAGTTTTGGGGTGAAAGTAGCGTCAGATGCAGGAGTTTTCCCTGCAGCCAAAGGGTTGTGAGTTCAAATGTTGTCCCTTCACCTCACCTGCATTTCCTACTGCGATCAAAGGGCCTGGTGGAGCCCGTGTGCCATCCTTACATCTGTCAGTGAGCCACAGGGCACTATCAATGTGTGTGGGTGAATGACTGACTGTAGTGGAAAGCGCTTTGGTCAATTCTTCTGACTTAAAGGTGGTATATAAGTACATGTTTACCATTTAACCACTTCAATATTAGAAGAATCAAAATTTAGTGTTTATTTTAAGAACGCTGACACTGTGGTAACGTCCTGTTAGTTAAAATACTTTTTTCTGATTTGACATAAAATGCATCGGCTTTGGATTTGACGTCGTTCAGGAATCACAATAAACACAAGGTTCTTCGTTTTGGAAGAATTATTATTAGCAGTTTTTCCCTTCTGCTCTTTTACAGAAGCTTCTACTGCTGAATATCCTGAATGAATGACTGTCTTTGTGTTTTTGTCCCACAGTGGAAGGCGAGAACTGCCAGCTTTGACAGCCAGGGCTCCTGCCCCTCACCGAGACCCCCTGCTAGTCCCTGAGATGAGCTACCTGTGACCCAGCAGCCCAGAAGGGGTTTCCTCCCTCCTCCTGATTCACTTCCTGTCTGTGTGCTTGAGGAGAAACACAATCCCACTGTCTCTCCCTTCTCACTCGCTCTCATCCCCACACCCCTCACTTCCTCCAGTCTAGTCCCAGAGCACTCCCAAGTACTGAAATAGGACTTTCTGTATGTCAGCTGTGTGAAGCTCAGGCTTTTCTCGACGTGGCTGGTGCGATGGCCCGAAGCTAGGGTTGTTTTCTAGGAGATTGGCTAGAGATCATGTCTGCAGACATTGATTGCTGATTTGTCTACGCTGAGGTAAATCTAGCTAGATGTCCTTACAAAGGACTTGCAACTTTGATTGATGGAGTCTCTTTGATGGAGAAAAAGCCCTGTCGAATATCACTCCATGAAAGCAGTGGATATTTCTCAACGGGAAGCTGAGTTCATATATTGCCAAGGAAGAAAAAAAAGGAGATGATCTAAAAGAAAGCTATTTTAGAAGTTTATGCTTCACTCACATTTATTTTTGCATTCTTGAATTAACATTAGATCTATATTTTTTTGTTAGATGTTTTTGTTAGATAGTTCATATATGATTATCTTAATGGGTTAGGCTATAAACTCAAGTAGTTAAAAGTTTTGTATAGGTTTAAAAAACAAAAAAATAAAAACAAAAGATCACCATTCAGAGGACCAGAGTGGAATAAATTGGTTCCTCTTAAGTTTTACAACTTGTAAAACATCATGAAGACACATCAGTTTTACTATTTTTTTTTTTTTTATGTGAGTAAAAACAAGTAAAGCTGTCAATGAAGAGAGATCCAAATATCTAAGCAGGGATATTTCAAGCACACTTTTATCACTCTTACCTTCTTTATCACTTTGGTGTTCCGTTTCTTCCAAAATAAGAACATAGACAATAAAAAAGCCTTTTCGTTTACCTGTTACTGTAGGTTTTTTTTGCTAACGATGTTGGCGGATGTAAATATATTTATGTACTGGTGTTTTGTATTCGGTTTTGCTTATAGAATAATAAATGATAAGATAGAATACAAAAAAAGAGATTTTGAATTCATTACAATGTCGGTGATGAAAAGAAAAGAATAAGGTTTCAATATTCCCCTTTTTACAGATGCAACTTTTTATGTCTATTAATTCACTAAATGTTAAATTGGTTCATTGTGTTGGGATTTGTAGTAAATTATAAGTTTTGTTCTTATGCTTAAAAATGTTCCAATTCCAAACTGAATATGTGGAAGGATTTCATTAGATAAGGGGGATTTTTTTATTTATTTTTTTTTAATGCCTGCTATGTCACTTATTGGTTTTGGTAAGACTTCCACATTAAGTTGAAACTGAGAACCGTTTTAAACTAGTCAACAAACAAGTCTGTTACTAACTTGAATCATCCCACAGTGGAGCTTCTGTCTTCCTTATATATTTAGCAGTGCAACATAGTCTGGAAAAAATCTGAGAATAAGTGCATTTTTTCTTGGATTGAGGAGATAAAAGAGACATTTTGCCAATGGAACAAGACAATTTACACTTAAAACAAGAAAACACAATTACATTGTCTTATTTCAAGTGTATATTATCTAAATATTTTATTTTAAGAGCAAAAACACTAATTCCATTGGCAAACTCTCATTTACCTACTCAAATTAAAGGTAAATACACTCAATTTAAGAAATTTTGACTTATTTCTACATCGTTTTTCCACTGTACAGTTCCTATTTCTAATAATGTTTATCTACTGGTGATATTAAAATCTGTCTTCTGATGTAAGTTTATCCCCAATTTGAGTCACATATACACTTTCATTGTCAAACTGAAATGGCACATATTGCCTTAATAGAAAATATCCATAAACTTACATAGTATGATAAAAAAAAGACTTTCCAAAGACACATCTCTGGCTTTTCCAGTGCGACCTGCTTCATCGAGTTATGAGTAAGTAGGTTTCAGAAATATACTGTTCCAAAACAGCATAAATTGGCCAAGATACTGTTGATAAGTCTTCAAATTCTAATTAAAAATCAATGTTCAGCTGTAATATAAGAGTTTATCTCAGAAATATTTATTTTAATTGTAAATAAAATAATACTTTAAGCTGTTTAGTTTAAATACATTTAAATAAAATGTTGTGAGGCCGTTTACGGTTAGCACCGGGATCAAAACATTTTCTCAGAGATAGAAGAGATAATAGAAGAGAGATAGAACGACCTTCACTGTCACTTTATTGACTATTTGATTTCATGTTAGCTTCTGCTTATGGTATTAGTTCTTGCTAATATAGGTAACAGTAGATCACAAAATGAGCACATTATTTTCAGTTTTCAAAGTTCAGGATTCCAAGAAAGGCACACAGCTAGGGCGTGGTATTTTAATGAGCCCTAGACATAAATACCATGAACATTTTAAAACTACAATTGATGTTTTAGGAGCAGCATATCTATTTAGAAACTGACTGCATCAGGCTATCTGAGCAGATAAACCTATTCAAGCACTAAATATTAGCTGGTTATTATTTTTAGAAGACATAAACAGAAAAAGGAAAACATCTGATGAAATACGCCTATTTACATAAAAACTATTAAATTAAGTGAGTAACAATATCATTTCTAAATTGTTGGTCTAAAAGTCGATCCATTCAAAGGTTGTAGATAGTAGTAATCAAAACATTTAGCATCTTGGAAATGGTATATATATTTTTCTGAAGTTGTCTGAAGAGTACAAGTAGTTAGACATAGTAAAATGTTTTGCCCATAGCTATGTCTAGGAGAGAAACAAGGCTAATTCTATCATCTATAATTGAACTTGTTGATAGCAGCAGGCCAGCTGATGCCTCCCTCCAGGATGATGTCACAGCTGGATAGAGTGCGAGGCCAGATTAAGCTACTAGGATGAAAAAAAGCACCAAGAACATGAAATTAGAAGTTAAAATAACAAATCATGTTAAATTAGAGAATAAAAGTTAAATGTGGCAGAGTTTGGAAAAGTAGCCGCTATGTCCTCCAGCATTCTAAGTGTATAGCAGCATAACTACAGATATAGCTCA